GGAGCCTTCCTTGGGGGTGCTGCTGCCTCACCAGCGGAAGGAAGGAAGATTGGCGCTTGTTCCGAAGCCACTCTGTTCTGTGAACGGCTGAGAGTCTGTCTGTAGTTTCTCCAGGATAAACGCACACCACTGCTCCCTTTTGGGTGCAGCCAACCATCCTTTATGCTGGACTTGAGCAGGGCAGTGTTTGGAGGACGGGGTTAGTGCCCTTTCTCAGGCTGGGGCTGTAAGAAGGGAAGTGCTGGGCCCTGGGAGATGCATCTGAGGGCATGTGGGGTGCTAGCTCAGGACCAGGGCCTCAGGAGCCACCTTGCAGATCTCCAGTGCGATGCCACCCAGATCTTCTCCTGTGCTTCCACGGCCCTGAGTCTCCTTCCCTTCAGCAGAGCCCGGCCGAGGGCCCAGCGCCAGCCCCTGTGCGTTAGCCCTATGAAGAGCACCGGGACTCAGGCAGACTCCCTCCCGTTCCCCCTGGACAAAGTCCCTGCTTATTTTCACTGCCAGGGGCTACGCAGGCCTTCTTCTTGGCCCTGGTGCTCTGATTTGGGGTCCCCGGATGAGATTGAGACCCCACTTTCCTCCAGGGGGTGCTTTTGCAACCCCGGTATTTCTCTGGCTTCACAGCCTCTCCCCTGGTGCAGGGACCAGCCCTCTCCACGTCCCCCCCTTCTTGCCAGTCTCTGTGTAGCATCTTTTCCCAGGCCTTTGGCACCCTCCTGTTCGCCTCTCCGTTGTTTAGGTTGATTGCTCTAAACTCTAGCTGCAGTTCAGGTTTGGCACTGGGAGGAGGGTGTATTGCTTTCAACTACTCCGCAGCCATGTTGGAATACCCCCAAAGTGATTTCTTAATAATGTTAGTTTTATTGACTTCAAGTGATTTTCTAAAAGAATGATGTTTGGGTTATGAATTCAATGACCATTTTTTATTGTATTCAGAGGAAATAGGGATAGATGGTCACTGCGATTTTTTTCTATTTTGAATTCCTTAATAAACCAAGAAAGTTGTAAAAGTTTGCTTTCAAACTTTAATTGCTTTCAAGTGGGTAGTAGTTTGTATTTATCATAAAATGGATTTATAACAGAAAGCTTTAGTGCAGTTTTGGTTATTTATGATTTTTTTAAAATACATCTTATTGATTTTTTACAGAGAGGAAGGGAGAGAGACAGAGAGCTAGAAACGTCGATAAGAGAGAATCGACCAGCTGCCTCTTGCACACCCCCTACCGGGGATGTGCCCGCAACCAATGTACATGCCCCTGACCGGAATCAAACCTGGGACCTTTCAGTCTGCAGACCGACACTCTACCATTGAGCCAAACCGGTTTCGGCTATTTATGATTTTTATAGTGATTTGTTTTTTGTAAGATTATAATCAGAAAGGTTAACTAACAGCTGTGGGAAGAAAAATAGAAGCATTACCTATAGGAAATAATCACTGTGATTTCAGGAGTAATTTCCAGTATTTAAAAAGTTTTCCCCTTTTCTTTTTAGAAAAAGACTAACTTAGCCATTCTAAGCTCTACGACTCAGATCCATATAGATGATTTTAATCTTAGCATTAATCTTATTAATTAATTACCAATTTTAAGAACTATATCCTTTTTTTTTATTTTCCTAAGTTTTACATATGTCTCCTTTTTCCCTATTGACCCACCTCCTCCAGCCATTCCCTCCCCAGCAGGCCCCCACCACCCAGTGTCTGTGTCCATTGGTTATGCTAAGATGCATGCATATAAGTCTTTTGATTGCTCTCTAACCACCCCCCTGCCTTTTGTCTCCTAATCTATTCTTGTTCATCAAATTATGTTGATCATTATATCCCATGAGTGAGATCATGTGATATTTATCTTTCTCCGACTGGCTTATTTCTCTCCAAATGGTAGAAGTTCCTACTTTTTTATAGCGGCGTAATATTCCATTCTGTAGATGTACAACAGTTTTTTAATCCACTCATCTGCTAATCGGCACTTAGGCTGTTTAAGAACTATATTCTTTATTTATTTATTATTTTTTAAAAATATATTTTATTGATTTTTTTTTTATAGAGAGGAAGCGAGAGGGATAGAGGGCTAGAAACTCGATGAGAGAGAAACATCGATCAGCTGACTTTTGCACATTCCCTACTGGGGATGTGCCCGCAACCAAGGTACATGCCCTTACCTGGAATTGAACCCGGGACCCTTCAGTCTACAGGCTGACGCTCTATCCACTGAGCCAAACCGGTTTCAGCTACTTATGTTCTTATAAGTGCTATAATATCACAGCTTTATTTTTTATGATATATTGCACAAAACTATTGGAACTTTAGAATATTCAAATTTTAGAATGATTGTTATTGTAGTGTATTCTTTTTTTTTTTTTTAAGGATTTCATAGCCTACAATTTTTATTGTCAGTCAATAATTGTCCATATAATAATTACTCGTGTTTTAGGAGTCAATCTTTTATGGTTTTCAAAGCATTTTCACATATATTTTTATTATTCAGTTCTCATAGCAACAGAATTGCTCAGTGTTGTCATCTTATCCTTTACAAATGAGGCAGCAGTTTCAAAGAGATTGAGATTTGCCTGAGATTTAAATGGTATGTTTTTCCAACTCAGAACTCTGTATCCTTGGATTGTTTCTGTTATATCACAATAATTTACCAAATAAACATAGCTGTTTTTAGAAATTAAGTAAATTTTCTTCAAAGCAGTTGTTCTCAACCAGCCCATTCTCACCCCTCTCCTCTCCACCTCCACACACACTGGCAAATGTATGGAGAAATTGTTGGTTGTTGCACAGTGGGGTGGGGCTGCAGATGCTATTGGCATCCTGCTGAGACCAGCGAATGCCAGACATTCTGCAAAGGACAGGTGCCCGCTCCCTCTAGGCTGTGATCCAGCCCAGAGTGTCAGCACGGCCAAAGTTGGGGCCTCATGGGCAAGAACAAGGCCTGTTTGCCCGTTCTTGACCTGGATATCCAGGCACCTTCTTACACATCTGTGATGTTTTCTACTCTCCCTGAATTACTTAAAACCTAACTTTTGAGGTAGCTTAACATAAAGGTGATTATATTTCATATATTTCGTAAATTGGGATATTTCAGTACTATTATTAAGAATAAGCATTGCTGCCGAAACCGGTTTGGCTCAGTGGATAGAGTGTCGGTCTGCGGACTGAAAGGTCCCGGGTTAGAATCTGGTCAAGGGCATGTACATTGGTTGTGGGCACATTCCCGGTAGGGGTGTGCAGGAGGCAACTGGTCGATGTTTCTCTCTCATCGATGTTTCTAGCTATCTATCCCTCTCCCTTCCTCTCTGAGAAAAATCAATAAAATATATTTTTTTAAAAAAAGCATTGCTAACAGAATAGTCATGGGGGGGTGAAAAATACATCATAGGGAATATAGTCAATAGTATTATAGTAACTATGTACAGTGTCAGGTGGGTATTAGAAATAATTGGGGGTTTACTTTATAAATTATATGATTGTCTAACCATTATGCTCTACACCTGAAACTAATACCAAATAATCCTCCTGTACAATAAGAGAAGAATATGCTAATTATCCCTTACGCCATGAGATGTAACAACCCACCGCAGGAGGGTGGGGCAGCGAACTACAAGCTACAAGTGGGCAGCAGAGCGCTACAGGGGGTGCAGGGCAGCAAGCTGTGAGGGTAGAGGGGCAGGGGGGGTGTTGCTCCAGGAGGCAGAGAGTTTGAGGAGGGCGGGGCAGCAACCTACCAGCAGCCGTGGGCGGGAGGCCAGCTGAGGCAAGGGGCAGCAAGCTATCGCGCTCGGATTCGTGCACAGGGCTACTACTATTAGATATAAACTGTGATTGAAAAATAAAATTTAAGTGAAAACAATAGAATAAGCATTGATAACTGTGCTAAATATATTATATATAAACTAGAGTTTTCTAACAAATAGTTCCTGGGTAAGAGAACAGAAATTAAAGCAAAGCACAAATATTTTATTTTAAACCAAAATTTTAATGTTTATCCAATTTTCTAGTTTACTTAACTTAGGTTGAATGCCAATAAAAACTACATAAAGTACTCTTAGGTTTTATTGAGAGTATTTAGTTTATGTGTCTCATTGAATGCTCTCCTGTTTGTTATACCAGGTGTGTTTTCAGAATCATCCACACTGTGCAGAGTTTAGAGTGACTAGGCTCTCCCAACCACGGCCTCACAGAGGGACTTCTCGGAAGTATTCCTTCGGGTTGAGGTGCCAATGCTGTGCAACCTAACCACTGTCATACTGTAACAGCTTAGAATAACTGATAATAGAAAACCTGAGTTTCAGAGTTTACATAAGCACTACACATTTCATAGAGGTTGCATAATTGAATAATAATAATTAAAAAAGAAAAGCTTGTGCTGTAGCTCAAAAACCAGCTCAACATCAGTCGAGTTGATCATATGCACTTACCAACAATTTTATTAGAAAGGATTAGTTTTAAACATAAAGACAGTAAGACTCTAAGACATGAGAAGTTGAATACATGATACCAACCCATACTTTACCATTATTGAAAATATTACAGTACTACCCAAGTTATTAAAGAAAGAATGGGAATAGCATACTGTATTATTCATATCACTGCTTGTTAATTTTGTGTTATTTTTAACAACAAATGAAAGAGTACAGAGTTTGCTACGTCAGGCAATCCATTTATAATACAGTTCTTTTTAAAATATACTTGATAATAAAGTATTAAATACTGAATGTTTTATTTTTTTGAGAATATTCAAGCATGAGATTTATGCAAAATCATTTGTGTGCATAAGAAAACTGCAGTTGATGCTGTTTCTCTTAATTTAGATGTACCAATAGTTTTGCAAAATTCTGATGAAATTTTTTGTCCTAAAGTCTAGTCACTGAATGTACCACATGGGAATAGATTTTTGCTTCTGAGCATAATACCACCGTTATTAATATAGCTCAAATATCCTAAATGTAACAGCTTTTAAATTTTATATTAAATGGACATTATTCATTGCTAATTCCTACTTTCTGAAGTTCCCAAGCTGAACACTCATTCTACTCAAAACACAACGAAATGTTGCTGGTTGTACTTCCCAGTACTTCATCGGGTTCTTGAATAAACTTATTGCACTGTATAATGATTTCTTCATCTTTGGCACTGTTGGGCAGAAATCATTCACTCCCACTTTCGTAATTGAATTCGAATGAAGGAAGATTATCTGTTGTAGTAAGAATAAGGATGCATTTAAAATACATAGTAAATGTGAAAAGAAGATACTCTGTATTTCATGGATTTATTTTATACGGACTTGAATGTATTTCACTTAAAATACATGTACTCGTTTATGCTTGTTAAATACTTAATGCTCAGGCCCATGCGTCACATACAGAAGTGCTCTATGTGTGTGAAGTGTGGTGTCAGACTCGCCGAGGCGGGAGCACTCGCCTGCCCGGCACCACTCTTCTCGGCACAGCTGCCAGGGAGTGCGGGCGCCTCAGTGCCAACTGTGCAGCAGTGCGCTTAAAGTGTTAGAACGGAGTTTAACGCTCTTAAGAATTAGGCTTGCAATATGAGTGTGAAGAATTGTTAGCATTTTATGTGATCAAGGGAAAGAGTTATAGAGCCGCTTTTTTGTAAGTTTATTTTATAGAAAAACATGTCTGTTGACATCTTACATACATATCTGTAATATATTATCAATAGTGGAATCTTTGCACCAGTGGGCGAAATACAATTTAATAGGCTGTGTATATGTCTTTAACTTAAATTATTACTCAGAGTGCACGATATAGAATCTTTCCTTCATTCCCTTAACATTCCTTTAAATTCTTTCTTTTTTGGGGGGGGAGGTGGACTGAGATTTGTGGGATGTAAAAACAGTCTACTTAACTGATAGCATTTGGCATATAAAAAAATAGGAGCCTTTTGCTGGACAAGCTAAGTATTGGTTCTGGCTGTTAGGCATGAGAATCGAGGCATTACTAAAGCCGTTCAGTTTGGCGTTGGAGTCCCTGTGCCCGGTGTCTCAGGGATTTTGTGACGATGCTTTCTGAGCTGTGCAGTTCTCCAAGCTCAGTGTCAGTGCTAGGGGTAGTTTTCCCAGCCCGGTCTCTCTGGGAATGGGAAGAAGTACTGGACATGGGTCTGTTAGCTTTGTGCACATTCACTGAATTGTACCATTATGACTTGTGCTCTTCTCTGTGTGTGTTATAATTTTATTCAATTTTTAAAATGCTAGCAAGAGTATGCATAGATTTAAGAGCTTCCAGAAGCTGGGACCAAAGCTATGGAGTAAGTAGGCAAAGATGGGACAGCTTAAGAGAGGGAAGACTCAGGTCATACTCGCTGGTTAACAGTAGACATTGAAAAATTCAAAGCAAAAGTGGTAACCTTGAGATGAACACCTTCATATAGCACTTCCATATTGATGGCTTGTATCTGACAGGAGTGTAGTTAACAAAACTTGTCTACAGATAAATAGGAAAGAAATCTAGAGGCAAGTTGCTCAAAGCCTAGTTTTGGCCTCCACATGTTTTGCTTCTTGGAAAGTGAGAACATTGTATATTATAGCAAGGAAAGCATATGAAGAAAATGGGCTTAAGTGAGATGAGGTTAAATAGGGATTCTTAATTTGAGGTTCATAGGTGAGATTCGGGGAGATCTGTGAAACTTTTAAAATTCTGATCAAAATATTGTCTTCATTTTTGTTCTTGGGAATATCTTTATTCGATTCTTCAAGGACTCTGTGGCCCCTCTTTCATATGTTAAGAGTTGCCAAATTAGAGGGAAAAGATTTATAATAATGAAAAACAAGAAACGTGAACCTATGATGTTCCAAATATGGACTTTTGTTTTTATAGTCTAGCCTTAAGTTTTTAAGAAGCATACACTTCTAATTGAACACCGCATTGGTAGTGAAAATATGTAAGACCTTGTCCCCAGGGTCTGCCTTCATGAAATGTCTCCAGAGTGAAAGGATATGTGATTCTACCTGGGTTCCTCTCACGCAGTCCTGCCTTTACAGAGCCGCTGCCATCCCAGAACCCTGAAATGCGCTCTCCTCTGCCCCTGGGCCTTAGTCTCCACGGGAGAACAGGCGGGATGGAAATGGGTACCTGTGTGTATTAATGATGTTTCTGTGGAAACCATTCTCCTAATGCTCTCTTTCTTTATCCTTGCTACTTGCTTGGTCTGTGCTTCATAAAAACAAAAGTACTCATATCTATAAAACACAAGTAGAATGTTTTACCTGGAGATATTTCAACTCCTGTAATCCTGAAGGGATTTTTTTTAGTTTATTGTGTTCCAAATGTATTTCTCTTACGCGTGGTATGTTAGCAAGACTTCCATTTTCGATATCTGTGATTCTGTTGTTTCCTAGGCCCAGCCTAAAAATGATATGAAATTCATCAACTCTTAAGCAGATAGTGTGATAAATTCAGCTCAAAACACAACTGAGTTAAAAATATAAACCTTTTCTAATCTAATAAAGAGGGAATATTCTAATTGACCATCACGCCCTCACAAAGGTGGTAGTGCCAACAGCCAATAAGGAGGAAATGTGCTATAATAATTGACTTCATACCCTCAAAGATGGCGGCGCCCACAACCACAAAATGGTGGCATCCAGTCCCCTCATCCCAGCGGGGACGGCAGGCGTGCGGCATGGCCAGGCCTGCCCCCAAACGGGTCCAGCCACTCCACACGCCTGCATCCAGTATTCCCCCAGCGTTCTCAGCCCCCCAGCCCCCCAGGGCTGCCTGAAGCTCAGGTAACCAGGGCCGGCCGAGGCTTGTTCTCCCGGTAGTGGCAGCAATAGAGGTGTGATGGGATGTTGTCTTCCCTTGATTGCCGGCTCTCCTCCCACACCTGAGGGTTCCTGGACTGTGAGAGGAGGCAGGTTGGGCTGAGGCACTCCTCTCCAGTGCATGAATTTTGATGCACCGGGCCTATAGTCTATCTTTATATTTGTGTTCAGAGAAAGGTATTTCATGGTTTTATTTAACAGCCCTCTCCTTCACTGTCAGAAAATTCTTTATGTAAATTACTAGAGGCCTGGCGCATGAAATTTTTGCGTGAGGGGGTCCTACAGCCCAGCCTGCCTCCTTTCACAGTCCAGGAGCCCTTGGGGGATGTCTGACTGCTAGTTTAGAATGTCTAAACTAGCAGTCAGACATCCCTCTCACAATCTGGGACCACTGGTTTCTAACTGCTCACCCGCTTGCCTGTCTGATTGTCCTTAACTGCCCCTCTGTTGGCCTGGTTACCCTCCTTACCCCCTCACCGGCCTGCTCACCTCCAGTTGCCTTCCCCTCCCCCCCGTAGGGCCTGGTCGCCCCAGCAGCCTGCTGCTCTGTTGTTTGGTTATCCCTCACTAACCCCCCTGCTGGCCTGGTCACCCCACACAGACTATTTCAGTTGCGATGGTCACTTAGGCTTTTATATATATAGATACTTATAAAAAGGAACATTTGAAAAGTGTCATCTTCCCTGGCCAGCTTTGCTTAATGGTTAGATCATCAGTCTGCACACTAGAGAATCAGGGTTAAATACCTGGTCAAGGGCACATACATAGTTGCAGGTTTGATCCCTGTCCTTAGTCAGGGAAGTGCAGGAGGCAACCAATCGATGTATCTCTCTCACACTGATGCTTCTCTCTCTCTTTCCTCTTCCTCTCTCCCTTTCACTCTCCCACTCCCTCTAAAAATCAATGAAAAAAATATCCTCACTCCTTGAGCAAGGATTAAAAAAAAAGTGAAGTGTCTTGTGATTCTACTTGGTGTGCTCTTTCATCACCACAACAGAGTAGTAGCAGTTCCTTCCAGCTTTTCCTTCACACATTCCAGTCGCAACAACACGAACTTCATTATGTCCCTGTCCACATTCTCCAGGAAACTTCATTCACATTCGTTGCATAGACTGCCACTTGCAAGTAAGGATTTGGGGAACTTTTACCTTTGCAGATCTTTGTATCGTTTAAAATCCTCGAGTTCCACTTTTGAAATTTTATTATCATCTAAATGAAGCTCTAATAATGTTGACGGTAGCTCTAATGATAAGGAAAGAAATGTATGTTAGATCAAGTAAAATCAAGCCCATTGATTATTTAATTGTTGAGAATCACAATATAGACAGGTAATTTTTTAGGGATCTGTTTTTCAAACATACACAAAAATGGAGGCTAGTATTATGAACCACCATGGTATTGCCAATTTTCAACAATTATCTTAATTTTTCCAATCTTGTTTTATCTACTCCTTTAGTTTTTTATTATTTCTAATTGAATTTTTGTGACATTGGTTAATATCAGTTTCAACTGTACAATTCTATAATACAACATCCGGGTATTGTGTTGTGTGTTCACCTTCTGTCACCCTCTTTTACCTTCCCCTCTACCCCTGGTAGTCACCATACTGTTGTCTGTGTCCATTAGTGTTTGTTTGTTTTGCTTAATCCCTTCACCTTTTCATACAGCCCCCCAACCTTCTTCCCTAATTATTGATTATTAAAAACAGTTTATTTGTTTTTATTCCTTTCCCTAATAATCTCAAATATATTGTTGATTTGTTCAAGTTTGTATCCTAATAAAGTTTACCAAGTACATTTATTGGGTTCTTAAATCTGTTTTCCTATTACATTCTCCCTCTTCTATTGAATATTTCAGATTTGATTTGTTTTAGATACTCATTTGTGGGTTGGGCTAACAACTTCCACAAGGTAGTTTATCATGGTCCTGTAGCACTCTTACTCCTTAGGACTTAGTAGTGAGATTTAGAGACAACCAGATTAGACTCAGAAGGAGCCTTCCACCTGATGGTCTTAGCATTCATTGGTGACCCCTAGGCCCATTACTTCTTTAAGAATGGGAACATGGGCTGGCCATTGCTTCTCAGTGGCAAAGCATTAATCTAGGACCAAGAAAACGTTGTTCGATTCCCGGTCAGGGCACATGCCCAGGTTTTCCGCTCGATCCCCACTGAGGGGTGTGCAGGAGGCAGTAGATGTTTCTCTCTCATAATGTGTCTATCTCTCTATTCTCCTTTCCTCTCTCTCTAAAATCAGTAAAAACATTTTTTTTAAAACATGATGATTTTCCTGATTTTATCATTCTTTAAGCATTTATTAGTTGGAATTCTTCTCTAAAGAATTTTCCTTATTTATTTACTATATGATACAGTTTTACAGGAAAGGCAGCATAATGCTCGATTCTTTCAAGAAATAAATTAGTACAATGCCCAGAGGTGACCAGTGAATTTTTTTAATATCACTATGAACACGTGTTTTTTTACTCTATTTGGTCCATTACAATATTAATTATTTTCAATTAGCAGTAGTTTGCATAAATCAAGAGAAGCATCTCTCTCTTTTTTAAATTCTCACCTGAGGATATTTTTCCATTGATTTTTAAAGAGTGGAAGGAGGGGAAGAGACAGAGAGAAACATCAATGTGAGAGAGACACCCTACTGGTTGCCTCCCACATGTGCCCTGACCAGGGCTGGGGATTGAGCCTGCAACTGAGGTTCATGCCTTTGACCTGCATTGAACTTGGGACCCTTCAGTCTGCAAGCCAGTGCTCTTTCCACTGAGCCAAACTGGCCAGGGCAAGAGAAGCATCTCGTAATTCTTACTCTGCCAAGTGCCACCTGGCACATGGCAGCTACTCTGTGAATGCTTGCTCCTTCTCTCCTTCAATCTGTGTGTTCTCAGATTAATTGAAGCTGGAATATAAGATAGCAACCAGAAAATTAAGTTAGATTTTATTTTATTCTATGTCAGACCTAGTATTGTATGTAATACTTGGTATTAAAAATGTAAAGTATCATTTGTCAACCAAAGGTTCTAGTTAACTAGCTGAGAAAGGTGTTCTATTTTTCAACTCTTGCTGAAACATTCCTTCCTATATTGGTGGCAAAGACTTATGAAGGTAATTAAAACATCCTTATAAATATCAATATTCTTTATAGCTGAGTTTATGTTGATTCCAGAATCTATTCTGAATTTTAAAAATAAATAAAGAGCAGGAAAATAATTCTAAACCAAGAGTGTTCTAATTTCTTGAATTCTGGTTACTTTTTTTTTCTTTCTATGTTTTTATTGATTTTTTACAGAGAAAAAGGCAGAGGGAGAGTTAGAAACATCGATGAGAGAGAAACATCGATCAGCTGCCTCCTGCACATCCCTTACTAGGGATGTGCCCACAACCAAGGTATGTGCACTTGACCGGAATCAAACTTGGGACCTTTCTATCCGCAGGCTGACGCTCTATCCACTGAGCCAAACCGGTTAGGGTGAACCTAATTACTTTATGGAATGACTATATACTCACTTCAATATATAAGAGAAAAGGTTCTCTTTTTAAAGACCTTATACATTAGTTAAGCAAATGCATACAAAAATCATTAGAAAAAGTTCACAGTGTATGCTAGCCTACTCTAAAATATTTATAGCGAGTCAAAGAAGAGAAATATCTGCTCATGTGGAGGAGGCAGGGAAATGTCTTAGGTTTGTAGATCTTAAGGGGAGAAGGTAGGTAAGCAAAATGAAAAGTGTAGGCTCTGTAGGATAAGTGAGCAAAAGTATGAATTTGGGTAGCGGCTCATTGACTGCTAACAAATATCAGCATGCTTTTATACAGGTGTTTCTATTCCTAGCCTGTCTTTAAACAAGCCTCTCCTCCCCTCCACACAATACCATTTATTATAAAGTAGGATTTTCCAAATGAATAGGAATAAAACATTTCTCACTATCTTTATGTTAACTTGTCAGATATGGTAAGGACTTACTGGTCCTAGTTCATCCTGCCACAAGGGGTTGAATTATAACATTTAGGCAGTCAGCCTTCACTTTTTGTTGTTGTTAATCCTCACCTGAGGATATTTTCCATTGATTTTTAGAGAGAGAGGAAGAGCGGTGGTTGGGGGGAAACACACAGAGAGAAATATCAATGTGAGACACATCCATTGGCAGCCTTAACATTTTAATTTTTTAAAATTGATTTGAGAGAGAGAAGAAGGGGGAGAGAGAAACTGAATTGTAAAAATAAACTAGAGAGCAGGAAAATAATTCTAAACCAAGAGTGTTCTAATTTCTTGAATTCTGGTTACTTTTTTTTTTTTCTATGTTTTTATTGATTTTTTACAGAGAGAAAGGCAGATAAAATCTGCCTTTTACTGCCCAGGCAGTAAAATACTTAAGTTTGTTAGTGGACTAAGTTGCTAATGCATTACTCCTCTGATGATTACCTGGACAGGACTGCCTTCTCATTCTTGCTTTTCTCACCCTGACATGGGACTTCTCCCTTCCTGCTCTAATCCCTACTGTCATCCTGTTGTCATCCGTGCATTCATTGGTTGCTTTTTACCTGTATCCTGACCAGAGATCGTACCCACAATCTTGGCCTATCAGGACAAGGCTCTAACCGACTGAGCTACCCGGCCAGGGTTAACCTTAACATTTTAACAAATAATTTTTTAAAATATATATTTTATTGATATCTTACAGAGAGGAAGAGAGAGTTGGAGAGAGAAACGTCGATCAGCTGCCTCCTGCACACCCCCCACTGGGGATGTACCCGCAACCAACGTACATGCCCTTGACCGGAATCAAACCCGGAACCTTCCAGTCCCCAGGCCGACGCTCTATCCATTGAGCCAAACCAGTTTCGGCAACAAATAATTTATAAAACAAAAACTTAACTGGATTGTTAATGTCCTAGGCATCTCAAAGGAGTAGTTATGTAAGTTGAGAGATTTTATTCCAACTTAAATTCCTAAGACATAAAAACTTCCTTTAGGCTTTAGAAGAATCTTGAGAAGTAAAAGCTTCCTTTTAAAGAGACACTGCACCTGAAGAGACTTGCAGTCCATATGGTTTGAGTGGCTCCATATCTGAGCCTCACCTCCCACAGCACTAGCTCCGCAGAGCCTCAGGTCAGCCTGTCCTGCCCGCCCTGCACCCCCACCTCCCACCCCATGCTAGCCCAGCACCTGGAAGGAATGGGGTGCATGTGACTTGTTCCGTGGAGTGTGTACTTCTGTTGTTCTAAATATGAAAAGGTAAATATGTGTAACATTTTAGAATAACAGCCGCTCTTTGAATGCTAAATTAAGATGGTTTTTAAATCATGAAGTTCTGAATGAAACTGATTTTCCTGTATTAAAACATTTTCCCTTTTTACTTCAGATGATTTTTCTTCTAAGCAAAAGATCACTACTTTAATAATAGCATCTGTTGTATCTTTCAAATGCTAAGCTTATATTTGTTTTATTTTCTGGGTGAGATGGGTGGTACAAAAGGGTTTATGATGAAGCTGCTGCTTTTACTGTGGATTCTGAAAGGCAGAGCCGAGTGAAAGCAAAATATATCATTAATCGTAGAGTTAGGAATCAGGGCAGGAAGGGAGAAGACCCATGTCAGGGTGAGAAAAGCAAGAATGAGAAGGCAGTCCTGTCCAGGTAATCATCAGAGGAGTAATGCATTAGCAACTTAGTCCACTAACAAACTTAAGTATTTTACTGCCCGGGCAGTGTGTCCCAGGAATTGAGCATGGACCTATGAACCAGGAGGTCGTGGTTCAATTCCTAGTCAGGGCACGTGCCAAGGTGCAGCTCCATCCCAGTGTGGTGTGCGCAGGAGGCAGCTAGTTAGTGATTCTCTCGTGATGTTTCTCTCTCTCCCTCTCCCTTCCTCTCTGAATCAATAAGAATAAATATATATTTTAAAAGAAGTATTTTACTGTAAGGTGTCAGCTTCATGGTAAAGTATGGAACTCACTCTGGTAAGTTATGTCACTAGAGGGCGTGTCCCGGGTCCTCAGCATTGCCCTGGGCCTTTCAGGGAATTGACTCATTATTCTGACAGCAGCCCTGTCACCCCTGCCGGGGCCAGTGTCTGCCCAGCCTGGCCGCACAGCGCCAGCCCAGGACAAGAGTCTGCGGCTCCGTGCATGTCCTCCGTTTTCTTTACAGAATTCTTACCTGAAACAGGTACTTCACAGAATAACAAAGTATAGATAGCAAACATCAGGAAAGGAAAGGAAAACTAGGCATTTATTTCTTAATGTTTGTTCTCACTGCGGTGGGGTGGAGATTCTGGTTTCATACTACATATGGCTTTTCATGGTGTTCATGAGAAAACACTCGATTTCATACTGCACTGAGCAATACACTGGCAGAAAGGATTCTGATGCCAGTGCAGTGGTTTCAGTATATACAGTTTACAACATTACATTTAATGGTTATTTTAAAAATAGGATGACATTTAAAAATATGTTATTTTACACAAAGTGAACACAAACCTTTAGGAATTGAGGTCAGTTTTGCTTCTGCGATTCGGACATGGAACACTGTCACCCCTTCGAACGCCCCTGGCTCAATCCCGCTGTTGTCGAGAGGGTTGGCGCTCATTTCTGCGGGGGAAGGACACGCTTAGCGGGTATGGGGAAGGGGGCCTTGAGCACGCACAGCCCAGGAAGCAGCGTGCTGGGCTGTTCTCAGTGCATCTGCTGCTGTCTCCTTCCTTTTCCGTCAGACTCAGTAAAACTTAGTAGGTTGGAATATAATAACATGTTTACCACTTTGCAAACAATTACTAAATCAATAATTTATCATTCTCTTTCAATCATAAGCATGGTCAAGGATTCATTGCAGAAATATTACAGTTGAAAAAAGATCAGCCTTCATATAATTCAAAATAATTGTTTGCCAGTGTATATTAATTTGTTACCTAAACTTTTAAAATTACTAGTGTATGAAATTGTTACTTAATTAACAGAAAATAACCTAGGCATTGCCAGTAAGGTAGGCTGCGGGAAGGCAGGTGCTTGGCTGAGTGAAGGGCACACATCAAGGAGAACGCTGGCTGGGAACCTGAATGGGTGAGTGGGGAGATGGCATGGTTACTCCATGGGTGTTAGAAAACCACAGAGTGGAATTTCAACTGCACAACAAAAACAATCCTTAGCTCAGTGTCTTAAAGCAGTGAGTGAGGTTAGATGTACATTCCACACAGTATCCGGATGAACTTTCTGTACTGTATTGAGTGGTTTGTACAATACACTTAGAATACTACCTTTAAATTTAATGATAACAGATTTTACCGATTAGGGAGCATCAGAAAACAAAAACCATACTACGTATTTAAGAGCGGAGTCTGAGAGTTCATGAGTGTGTGTATTACAAAAGGCATCTTTCGGTACTGTACAGTTTTACATTTTATTTGATTTGTAAGTGGCTTATCTAGGCAAAGAATATTAGAATAAATTTTTTTTTAGAAATTATCAGTCTTAAAGGTTAATAATGATAAAAATGTCTATCTCCGTGTATTACTTATAATTTCTAAATGTCTCATTTACTTGCAAAAACTTACCCAGAACATGTAAAGCATTCATTCCTTTGAATGTTTCCTTTTGTATTTTCTTAACCTTGTTATCATGAATTCTGAGTTCTGCTAACGATTTAGGAAGGTTAAGTGGTATTTCATTTAGTTGATTGTGGGACAGATATAATCTTCTCAACTTCTTTGTGGTTTGAAAAGCTTTGGGGTGTATCTTTGTTAGCTTGTTGTTGTTCAGGATCAAAGCCTAGATTAAAAATAGAAAGTGGCACCGGATTAGGAAGCAGATTAACCTGTTGGGACTCCACAGTGGCCAGTCACTCTGGAAGTCAATGCAGATTGCATCATTTTCTATACTTGATTAACAATGCCAGTAATTCCTCAGCCCAATCTAAACTAAATATGTATATATTTACACTGAGTTGGAACAGTGCAGAGCTTTAATGAGTGGTTTTGTGTCTTTGGTTTAATTTGAGGAGGTGATGTGTTACATGGTTGAGGCCCCTCTAGTTTCCACTTTCTCTTTAGGGCAGTGGTTGGTTGTATTATCTTTATCTTACCTTAGAACTGGCTCACTCTGCAAAATTAAGTTTACCCTCACTTCTTTTGTGTTTCCTTCTCTTTACCATTTCCCCCAGAATATAGACCTGTCAGAATAAGCTACTACAAGTGCCCTCAGACATAGTTCAGATACTGGGGACAGTGGGGATCCTGAGGAATGCCTAACCCTTTCTCAGTTCTGTGGGATGGCTCCCGGTGACAAGGCAGCATCCTTTAGAGGAGACAACAACCCGAGAGTAAAAGCACTTGGTGACCTAGCCAATCAGGAGTGAGTATGCAAATTAACCCAACCAAGAAAAAAACCAACCCTTTTCACCTATTGTGCCCTGAGGAGGGTGTTAGCTGCTATGATGGAGGTCCCTGGGACAAGGGAACTTCAGAACCCAAACTGGGAAGTCTTTGGCAGCCAGAACTTGTCAGTCACCCTAGTAATGATTTTCACTTCAAAATGAACCTTGCCTAATCCTTCTTTTACTGCCAGGTTTTGCAAGGGTGTTTCCCCAGGAGGATGGCAGGTGGTGTAGCTTCCTCAGGACTTTGCCCTCTGCTGTCCATTCTTTCAGGGGCTGCTCTAGATGCACTCCTCTTGTGAATGCTGGCCCTGGTCCCAATCTACAACAGCCTTCCTGTGGTTTCCAGACGGAGCTAGCATGCCCTTCTGGTGTTATTCGTGTTATTCTTATTACACAAATAAATGCCTTGACAGCTAAATTATCTTTATTATCATAGGCACTTTGCTTCTCTCTTTACTTGCTCTTCTTTCAGACATCACAGTGCTGATACAATTTTTACTTGAGAAAAGGTAGGGCTAGGAGAACAAATGAAACTACAGTTGTTAGCAAATGGTAACATGAACTCCTTTCTGAATGCATGACGCCAGTTATAACTCTCTTCTCTTTTCATTTGGTTACATTGTGGTGTGCGGTCAGGGAAGGGAGGGGCGACTGGAGGACTAACAACCTGATGAACCTTCACTTAACCCTTTGAGGTCAATTTAGCAAAAATTATGTCTGCTTGTGGTGACAAGGAAACGACGCAGTGCAGACAAGCGGTTCCCTGCTCTCCTTTCTGCCCGCCTGCCTGCCCTCCGGTCTCCCTTCCTGTCTGTGCACTTCCTGAGCCTCACTGCCAAGAGCCCACAGGGAGCGTGTGCCTCAAGAGGTCCTCCATCACGTCTGGGTCTGTACCCCTCCCTGGGCCAGACATGCCATTGTCAGAGCTTCATAAAAGCAGGGTAAGTGGTACAAAGGGGTAAGAGTTTTGTGGCATGCCGTCAAATGCTGCCCCAGCAAGTGAGGTGAGCAGCTGTCTCCAGGGGAGTGGTACTTTCAGTGTTGGCTTTCATATAATAACTAGAGGCCCGGAACACGGAATTCATGCAAGAGCAGCCCTTTCTTCCCCTGATTGCTGGCACCAGCTTCCCTCTGGCACCCGGGACCCTCCAGCCGTCTGCAGGCACCCGGGATCCGGGCTTCCCTTGCAGTCATGGCTTCATCCAGAAGGTCATCGGGTCTAATTAGCATATTACACTTTTATTATTATAGATTCCAAAAGGGGCAGTTATAGAGTCCTACCCAGTATAGCTCTAGGGAAGGCCAGACAATGAGAAAAATATAGCCTTTTAGAAATAGCCACTATGATGAGTGTATGTGACAATGAGCTGGAGGTGACGTGGGAGCAGAGTACACGCACGTGTGTGTATGTGTGTGTGTGTGTGTATCTCACTCTCTAATGCTGTGTTGTTCTTGTAGAAGAATCACAATGCTAAACCAATCGCTGAAGCATAACATAGAGAATTCACAGAATATCTAAAAACATTTTTATTCTCTTTAAAGACAGGTACTGATGACACTGTAATTCAATAAATGTTTTGCAATAGATGTGAGCCCAGTTGTGCCTGCCTGGGGAGCACACACCCTCCAATACAGTGGCCCCTCGAAACTGCGCCTAAGAGACCACCACGGTGGCTGAGATGGCTCTGCCATCTTCTTGTGCTGCCTTCCCCCTGACAGACAGGACTACATGTGGAGGAAGTCCCTGGAATGCTCCTAAGATGCATAATGCTCTGACAAATTAAGTTGAAAACTTTTTATGGTTTTGGTATTAAAAATGACATTAAACATTCTTGTGGTCATATAGCTGAAAATAGGTTAAGAAGTGGTAGAAGCGTTCATAGGCTCTTTTTCCAACTTATGAGGGTAGAATGATGGTCTTGCCACCTCCACTGTTCCTGTGGTTGTCCTAAACAGGCAGACTGGATGGACCCTGGGTGGAATCCATTGTGCCATTTCTGTTTCTGATTGTCTTAATATTTAAGTGAGACCTTGGTTATAAAATAAATATATATGTTCTTCCAGTTTCTCCCCCCCCCCCCCCCCCCCCGGCTCCCTTGGAAACTATGCTATGTATGGGCTTAACCAAATCTGAGCTGTCTGCATGGTACGTTTGAAAGGCCCCAGGAGCCTAGATGGTGGAAGTGCAGAGAAGATCCGCTGTAACCTCACTGCAGTTGCCATGCTTTGAATGCCTTCGCTCAGCACAGCAGGAGGAGATGTGGAGTCAGGCTCTTTCCAAACTTCATTGCAAATTAAATGAGAAATTTTACTCGCTAAAATCTAGTCTCAAAATTAGAAATAAAAATCTTTTAAATCTTAGAAAATTAAATGTTAATAAATACAATAAAGAATTTTTTTATTTTATCTTCTAAGGTCTAGAGAAAAAAGCCATGAAAAAATATATTGTCAATTAGATATACTGCATGTGGCACTGTTAGACTTAAAACGATGGGTTTGTGTACCCATTTCCTTAGCACTGTATGCTAATAGTTCCTATAAGAACTCAATGGTATTCGTTTTAGTGTTTACCGAAATAGGTAAACACTCATTTAAGTCCATTTAGTTAATTCTTAGCCCACTGCCTTTCACCTGATTGTTGTCAGTAAACACCACTTGGATTAAGTCTATAGTTTTTCATTAACCAGAACACCACTGAATAGCCATGTTTCTGTGCCCCTTCACACAGAAAAGTAAGTCTGACTTACACAAACACAATACGAGTGGTTATTTTAGCAATGGTAGAGATTTTCACTTAAATATTTGAAAATATGAGCATATATTCTTACATAAAGTGAAGTGAGTCCTTTAAAATCATTTTCTTTGATTTCCTTAATTTTGTTGTTTTGAAGGTCAATCATTCGAGTATCCAATGGAATGTTTCTCGGGACAGAGGACAAGCCTGAGAAATAAACAAACGTTAAGATGTACGCTCTTTGCTTAGAGGAGAGAGCTGATATGTTAGGCTGTGCACTTGCTAAAGTCCATGGTTACCATTAATAACAGATGACTTAACATGTAGCGTATGACAAAAACATTGTTCTTTGGAAAGGCCTAGACCGTTTCCAGTCATTTATCTTTACAAGATGTCTGGCTGGCCCAGCCGTCACCGCTGGACTGCTGCCTGGGGCCTGGCGTGGAGGAGGCCCTGTGAGGCCAGCTTCTGTGGGTGCACTTTGGCTGAGGAACATTCAAGTTCTTTGCAAAGTTTTGGTCTGTTGTGCATTTTAGAATTCCATTTTCTGAGGGAGAAGAGGGACAGATACCCAGACGCTTTTCGTTGTCAGTGTCCTGGGAGAGGCAGTGTCCGCTGCTAATGGGAGTCGTTGTGGTGAGGTCTGTGCCCGGGCAGATTGGTTCAGTGGACTTTATTTTATAAGATAACTAACTGGTCAGGGGAAGACTATTTGCAAACAGCTCTTTGATGACAGGTGTGTGCTGGGCAGAGCTGGGGAGCGGCAAGGAAGTCCTTGGCCTAAGGATGCTGTGCTGAGGACACGCATCCTCTGAGTCATAGCCACGGTGAACAACCTGGCTTACACCCACCGCTGTCAATGCTGCTTGCCTGGGATGCAGCTTAGAAATGATCATTCTCAGCTACAGTCCTTTCTCACCACAGGGTCTGTCTCAGCTTCTGCGTTTGTCCTTTCTGCTGCTAGTCCCACACTCTTGCTGCTGTGCTTCCAGACTAGCTTTCCTCAAACATTACCTCATCTTATCATCCCCATCATAGCAAGGCCAGAGGCAGAGCTGAAAACCACTTTCTTCTAGCCTGTGTATTCCATTCAGGTTTTCCCACTGATTCTAGTTCATAATCTTAATGAATGCTTTTGTTCATCTCTCTCGTATTGTCCCTTAATAGCACACTTTGTACAGTCTCTGGAGTGGATTGTAACAAGCTTTGACTGGTGCCCAAGTGCCGTAGCCGCAGACGCACTCTGCAGCGGCCCTGAGGGCCCCGTCCTCTGGAGGGGACTTCCTGCAGTGTGACACATTTGAGTCACCTCTCTTTCGGAAATAGCCGAATACAGCAACTCTTCACATAAATCCCATCACATCCTCCTTTTGAGCAGGGTCTGAGTGTGCCCCTCTATTTGAAACACATTCATTAAAGTATTAAAAAAATAAAAGAGAATTACACATTTTTAACAGACTTTAAAATGTAATTTCTATACTCAAATCACTAAAAACAAATAGGGAATTGTCTTTAAATGAGATGTCACAACTCTGTAACCTGTTTATTGTCCTGGGCAGTTGATTAGTTTTTTTAGTGTAGAGTTTTACTAGAAAGCAGCCTCAACCTTCCGGTACCCTAAGGTGAAGAAACTGCAGTAACATCCATTCCTTCTGAAGGAAATGAAATCAAAGCACTTTGGTTCGAATTTGGGAAGAGAAGGAAATGTTTATATATGAAATTCTCATGATTTTCCTCTGATTTTCAAAATAAGTTTGCATGTACTTTGTGGTTGGTTATACTTTTTAAAAGTTAAATTTTGTCAGAATAGGATTATTCTCCAAAACAAGTTGATGTGTTCTTACCTAGATCAGAACAGTGTACGACTCTTGAGTAGCACTGGCATCCAAACGGACATGTTGAAAACAGTTCGAATGGGAAGAAAGGGTTAATTGGCTCTCTTGTTGGAAAAAGAGAGTTGTCACCATCAGCATCATCATCACCTTCATCTTCCATGTCCTTCAGCATCACATTCTTCAGCGTCATATATGAAGGGCGAAATAAAGGTTTGGCAGAGCACAAAGCCAAGAAAACTAGGAGCACACACTCCTTCATGTTGTCTTGTGTACGGGGCCAGTCTGAGACTAAGGAGACATTGAAGACTAAGTTAATAGTTAAACACAATTCTGCAACTGAACTTTTCTCAGAAGTGTCATTCTTGTTCATTGTGAGAGTAAATTTTGCAACCTTTTAGAAAGTAGTTCAGCAGTATGCATTCGAAACTTTTAAAAGATCTTTGTTTTTCATCCAGTATTTATGCTTTTGGAATCTAATCTCAGGAAGCAATGCTAATGTGCATAAAGGTGTTCATTATAGAATTACTAGAGGCCTGGTGCATGAACTTCATGCACTGGGAGGGAGGGGTAGTGTCCCTCAGCCCAGACTGCACCCTCTCCAATCTGGGACATCCCTCTCATAATCCGGGACTGCTAGCTCCTAACTGCTCACCTGCCTGATTGCCTCTAACCACTTCTGCCTGCCAGCCTGATCACCTCCTAACCACTCCCCTGCCAGCCTAATCAATGACTAACTGCTCCCCTGCCAGCCCAATCGCCCACAACTGCACTCCCCAGCAGGCCATCTTGTGGTGGCCATCTTGTGACCACATGGGGGCAGCCATCTTGTGTGGGAGTGTGAAGGTCAATTTACATATATCCTCTTTATTATATAGGATATATTACTAGAGACCTGGTGCACAAAATTCTTACATTAAGGGAGGGGGGCCTCAGCCCAGCCTGCGCCCTCTTGCAGCCCGGGAGCTCTCAGGGAATATCTGACAGCTTAGGCCTGCGCCCCCTAAGTGAGCAGTCGGACATCTGTAGTGCTGCCGCACAGGGGGGAGCCCAGCTTCTGGCTGAGTGGGGCTCCCCCTGTGGGAATGCAGTGACCACCAGGGGGCAGCTCCTACATTAAGCGTATGCCACTTGATGGTCAGTGTGTGTCATAGCAATTGGTTGCTCCTCCATCGGGCTGAAACTGATCGTCTGACATCCCCTGAGGGGTCCCAGGTTGCAAGAGGGCTCGGGCCAGGCTAAGGGATCCCACTGGTGCATGATCAGGGTTGGGGAGGGATGCAGGAGGTTGGTCAGCCAGGGAAGGACTGTGGGAGGGCTCTAGGGCACATCTGGCCCATCTCACTCAGTTCTTATCAGCTGGACCCCAGCAGCAAGCTAACCTACACCCTGGTGGTCAGTGAATGTCATAGCAACTGGTCCACCAATCGACTGTCTGCTCCTTGGTGGTCAGTACACATCATAGTGAATGGTTGAGCGGCCTTAGCATATCATTAGCATATTGCACTTGAATGGCTGACCAGACGATCAGACATTTAGCATATTAGGCTTTTATTGTATAGGATAGCAAAAAGTTAAAAATGGCTAAATGGAAATAGTTATGTGAAATATGGTATATTCTTAAAACACTTTGTAACCTATAAGATATTTGCACAGATGTTTAAAATTATGAAATATTTTTAAGGAAAAACAAATATAAAAATCTATGCATATCAAACAAACAAAAACTCTGGTACAAATATACCTAATTGATGATAATCTCTGGGTGATAGAATGATGAATGACTTTTTGTGTCTTTTTCTTTTTTATAATTACTTTTATAATGAACAATAAGTGCAACTTTTTTTTTTTTTTAATTGACTTTGAGGAAGGGAGAGAGAAAAGCATCAATGTGATGGTGACACAGAGGTCAGCTGCCTCCTGCACATGCCCACTGGGGGGTCAGGATTGGAACTAGCTACCTTTCAGTGCACAGGACAATGCCCAGCCAACTGAGCCACACATCTGGGGTTGATAGAAAATTCTTTATGTTGAAGCCAAGAATGTCTTCTGGCACATTTCTCTCTCTTTACTAATTTTGCCTTCTATTAGCCATGTAAAATTAATCTTATATTTTTGTATTCTCATATTCTGATTACTTCAAAAGAGAAGTCAGGCAAACCTTGATTCCACAAGGAATTCACAATTTACAGCAGAGGTGGGGAACCTTCTTTCTGCCGGGGGCTATTTGGATACATAAAATATCATTTGCGGCCATCCAAAATTATCAACTTAAAACTAACCTGCTACATTTAGTCAAACATTTAATTAACTCACCCCCAATACCTTGGCAGGGCCAGAACAAATGATTTCTTGGGCCTATAGCCCTCGGACCGAATGTACCCTACCCATGATTTACATCCCATCTGAGGTGATACAGACTTGATAAAGTACAAGTGATTGTAGATCCTAAACCTTAAGTCCGTTTATCAGTAGAAAAATATGGAATGTCCAGGAGGGAATACGGCATAGTAATGTCTCTCTCCCTGCCATTTCCCCTCCCCCCATTATTCAAAAAGAATATAAGAGAATATTCTCATATAATATGATGTGACTTTTAGTTATTTGTCCTTATTTAATATTTTGATGGCTTAGGCTCTTGCTTGGTTAGTTTTGGAGGTATTTATATTGTATTATTTATAAACTAAAATTTGTCTTTTTCTCAGGAAGACTCAGTATTTTCCCAATATAGACTAGTTTTGCCAGAGTTTCTTACTCATGGAGAGCTGTGGATTTTGGTTTCAAGTTTCCCTAGATTGGAATAACATTTGGAATATACTTTATGTGCTGATAATTGGTATTAACGGAGCCATGGCACACTCTTTGTGTCTGGAGAAGCTGAGACCAGCCTTCTCCCTCCTGCACTGGCCACCTACTGTTGGCTTCTGCCAAGTCCCAGGCCCGGTGACTTCCAGACAGTGACCCAACTGTCCGAGGAGAGGCCGGGCTGAGAAGTTCGCCCGATTCCCATTTGGCAACAGACCTGAGAAATGTCTGCCTGAAATTGCAAAGGCTCCTGTTTTCCACTTCAGTGTTCCACAAACTTGGAATGGAAAATTTGTCTAAGTGAAATGGTATTTCCTGTCAGACACTATTATTAGGGAAACATGTTATTGCTTTTAAATTTCATGCTTGGCAACTTTTCCCTTTGGCTGAAATGTTTATAACAGTTCACAAGTGCCATATATCAGTGTTACATAACATACTCTGCACATCCAGAGGTGGAAATCCAGACTAAATCCAGGTGTAAACAAGGTCAGTTAGACATCCAAATATGCATTTGGAATCTTATTCACAGCACCTTTTGGTCATGGAAACGGATACTTTTATAGATTAGACTTTCCTTAAAGAAACAGTAATGTTACCTTGTAAGTGTAAATAACATCTGATAAAAGAACTTGTTGGCTGCTTTTCCAATTTTTGTCCGTCAGTTTTTTAATGCCTTCTAGCAATCTAGCTGCTGTCTTAAAAAGCAAAAGCTTCATCATTTTTCTGCTGTTTCCTATAGTTCCTTAAGACTTTTGCTTTAAATCAGTCTGTTTTGTCTCAAATCTCAGATCAAGTATAAAATATTCTGTTTTATGTTTTAATATGCAGTCGCTAGTTGTAATAGAGGCCTGCACGTCCCCTCATCTTCCTAGCATTACACGATGTGTGAAACGTGGAAAACAAAATATCAGGATGCTTTTGCATATGTGTGGGCTTTGGATTTACTTTTTTAAACAATTCAGTGGTTCTTGGTGGGATGAAGTTGTAAAAGTACTTTACAGTTTTTAGAGAGATCTGCACCTCTCAGCTTTCTCTGTGACTGATCCTACACACGTGGCCACGGCTCCTGGTTGTCACCCTCTGAGTTGTTAACAAGGAAGAATGCTCTGTGCTATGTAAATTATGAGGAAGTAGAATACCCAACACATTGTTTGATTTTCTTAAATCTAAGTTTTAATACAAAATTTACTTTGGAACAAAAGAAAACTTTGTTTTAAATTCTGACTTTATGGATTTTTGTGAAAAGAAGTTCCTAATTTTTTATGTTGAGTATAGATCTAGTTAAACTGTTGCTGGTCATTATTCTTTCTTGAAATTATATAGATTTCTGTTTTTATTGTACAGTGCCATTTCATCATCTAAGAATAAGGAAGACATTTATCAAAGGAAAATATGACCATTCAAATGTGTAACTAACTAAAAATGAAATTTGAATAATTTATATAATTTTAAGTACATTAGAAAATATATATTTACATTTCAAAAGAAATATTCACTGTTTAATTTAATGTATTTATGATATTCTCAAACTTCCTTATCATTAATTATTAAGTGGTAATATTATTTTCCTAAAAGAAGATATAGGTGTTTGTTTAAATGATTTTTTACAACTAACTATGTTAGCATTTATGGCAAAGCACAATGATGGGTTTTCACTTAGCTGTAAAAAAGTCACAATTATATTGAAATAAATTCATTATATGTAAAACAAAAAGTTATTTTAGGTTGCTATGTAATTAAGTACTGGTTTTTAAGAAATTAGACAAACTTTAAACTTTATCCTATAATTTACAAGCATTTATGTTAATAATATTAATGTCCCCTTAGTATTGATTATAAGGTAATTGTCTACTGGAACATGAAAAAACCCCCACATGAAAACATACCTTGTAAGAAGAGAGCAAGTCCTCATGAAGTCAGGTTTCCCAGCATGTACTGCTCCTCTGCAGGGATGTCCTCATGTGCTCTGCAGAGGGAGGAGGGGTCACATGCACAGAGGAGAGGGGCTGCCCCTGTTGAGCTGCTTCCACAGATGAGCCCAGTGAGCGCCGAGGAGCGAGATTAAAGCTCGTTACTGCTCATGTGTTTTCCATCACTGTTTGTGTTGTAGCCAAAACTTCCAGCTAAACTTGAGACGTCTACTGGAAGATTCTGAAGAAAAGAGTGCTTACTAATAATACATGGCAGCTGGCCACTGAAGTACATGAAGTCATTAAGAAATCCTGATTTGAAAAAAATACTTCATGAAATTCTTGAATGAATACTTACAAATTACAATTTAAAAAATTACCCTATATAATCCAACAAAATATTTTTCTTAGTAATTATAATAATAATTATTCTTAGTAAAGAATATGAGCATTATTGAAGCATAAACCTAAACTCCAAGTGTATCTGAGTGTGTCAGGAGCCGTGCTGCTGGTTCCTCCTGTTGACGGAAGCCACTGCTTTCCT